CATCAAACAATTTTCTTACCCGAAGGCGGCTTCACAAGATCCCAAGTTCTATTCCGATGGAGAGATTCAATTTCTTTATTCATCGCAATCAATCACTTAGCGGAATTATCATAAGAAACTGCATCTAAGTAGGAAGTAGGCTCACCAACTTCACTTGTTTCTTCTACAACCGACAAAGCATATGCAACCAAATTTGCATATCTTTGTGGTGGTCGAATATCTCTCCGTGGTCTATCCTTGGCTATGAAATATTGCTCTTCCTCTGGATCATCTGTGTCAATAGACTCGGGACCATCTACTAGCATTCTTTGAGTAGAAGAGTTCGACTTAAAGGAATTTGAACTACCAATCTCAAGCTCTACCTGCTTCTGCGCACTGTCATTTGTACAACTAGTAGATTCCTCTTTAGAAGATAACATAGACAATTCATCAAAAGTAACATCTCTACTGATTACAAATTTTGGGGATTTGGGATCAGAACGCCATAATCTGTATCCTTTCACCCGAGAAGCATACCTGAGGAAAATATATTTTTTGGCTCGAAGCTCTAATTTTCCTTCATTTATATGCATGTATGCTGGACACCCAAAATTTTTTTAAATCAAAGTATTCAACAGGAGTACCTGACCAAACTTCCTCCGGAGTTTTAAAGTTAAGTGCTGCAGACGGAGCGCGGTTGACAACGTAACATGCCATATTAATCGCCTTTGCCCAAAAGTCCTTTGTCAACCCTACATTTGAGATCATACACCTTGCTCTCTCCAAGAGTGTTCTGTTCATACGTTCGGCCACACCATTTTGCTGAGGCGTCATCCTAACAGTGCGATGCCGAACGATTCCTTCATTTTTACAGAATTCATTAAAGTCACATTCACAAAATTCCATGCCATTTTCTATTCGAAGCCGCTTAATCTGTTTACCTGTTTGCTTTTCAATCAAAGCATTTCATTATTTAAAGGTTAGAAAAACATCATTTTTATGCTTCAAAAAATAAACCCAAACTTTCTTGGAATAATCATCAATGAAAGTCGACATATACCTAGCACCACCCTTAGACTAAACATGAGCTGGACCCCAAAGGTCTGAATGAATATAGTCAAGAGTACCTTTTGTTTTGTGAACTGTCGGAGAATTGAAGCTAACTCTTTTCTGCTTTCCAAAAATGTAGTGTTCACAAAAATCCAATGGCCTAGTACTCTGTCCGCAAAGTAGACCCCTTTTGCTCAATATGCTCAAAC